GTATATGCATGGTAAGGTTATTCAGCAATTGGTTGGCTTTTGGAACAACTTTGGGCACGTTCGAGGACGAACGTTTGTTTAAGTTGGGGAGGAAGTGACGACCCGGCCAGTCGTCTCATGAGTTACCGCTCCGTTTCCCCAATTTCTGCTTCTTTATTCTTCGTTATCCGTGTTTTTGTGGTATCGGGTTGGTCGGATCGAGTCCGGAATGATTTTTGATAAGGTTTGAGACACTTAGTCTCTTTTAAGGAAGCTTAAGTTGGAAAAGTCAACCGGATGTTGACTTATGTGTTAGAGGGCTCGGATGTGAGTTCCGATGGTTCTGTTAGCTTCGGGAGGTGATTTGTGACTTAGGAGTGTGATCGGAATTGGTTTTGGAGGTCCGGTGTAGAATTAGGCTTGAATTGGCGAAGTTAGTATTTTGGCAATTTCCGGTTGGTAGGTGAGAATTTGATCCGAGGGTCGGAATGGAATTCCGAGAGTTGCTGTAGCTTCGTTATATCATTTGGGATGTGTGTGCAAAATTTCAGGTCATTCAGATGTAGTTTGGTTGGGTTTTTGATCAAAGGGTAATCTAGAAGATTTTGGGATTCTTAGGCTTGAATCCGATGCAAATTTTATATTTCGATGTTGTTTTGAGTGTTCCGAAGGTTGGAACAAGTTTGAATGATGTTACGGCTGTTGGCATGTTTGGTTGAGGTCACGAGGGCCTCGGGTGAGTTTCGGATGGTCAATCGGACCAATTTGTGCCTTAAAAGATAGCAGAAATTGCACGTTTCAATTGCAGGTATTTTGTGCATTGCGATCGCATAGGTGCTATTGCGATCGCGTAGAAGCTTTTGGGGGCAGTCCATTTTTGTTCAATGCGTTCGCATAGGATGTGTTGCGATCGCATAGTTGTAAGGAAATTGTTGATTGTGATCGCATGGAATTTGTTGCGTTCGCATAGAGTTAATTTGGAGCTGAGATTTTTGTGCTTCGCGATCGCGAAGGTTTTCCCGCGATCGCATAAAAGGAATTTTTGCCTGGGCAGAAAGTTTATAAAACATTTCATCCGCAATTTTGAGTCATTTTTCCTCCATAGCTGCATTTTGAAAGCTTTTTGAAGGTGATTAAAGAGGGATTCAAGGGGAATCAATTGGAGGTAAATTTTCGAACTTAAAACTCGTTTTTATTGTGAAATCCACCTAGGAATTCATGGAAACTAAGCCTAAAATTGAAGAACTAGGGCTTGAGAAATTGGACTTTTAAATTGGGATTTGAAGGACCATTTGAGGTCGGATTTGAGAACTTTTGATATGTATGAACTCGTGGGAAGATAAGGAATCTATTGATGTAAAAATTTCTGAGTTTCGAGGAGTGGTCCCGGGGCTCGGGTTTTGGTAATTTCGGGATTTGTGCCCGTTATTGATTGTTTTCTCTTGAGCTTTGTTCCCTTAGAATATTGTGATGTATTCGTTCTGATTTTGGATAGATTCGACGCGCGTGGAGGCCGATTTGAGGGGCAAAGGCATCGCGAGCTAGAGATTTCGCCGGTTCGAGGTGAGTAATGATTGTAAATGATATTCTGAGGGTTTGAAACCCCGGATTGCACATCGTAGTGCTATTTTGAGGTGACTTGCACGCCAGATAGCGAGCGTGGGGTAGAGCACCGTTGGGGATTGTGACTTGGTCCGCCCCGATTGATGATTTTACCGCGTATTTGACTAAAACTTATTTGTTATCATCATGATTTGGGCTGATTGCCATATTTGGGCTTCGTGCCAACTATTTGAACCCTTCGGGGAAGTTTATCACTATTTCCTCACTGTTTTGAATTATTAGTTGAACTCAGTCCTGTTGATATCTACTATTTTTACAACTCAGCGACTTTTACTCAGATTTGAAACTTAAATGATATTTCTAAATGATGTTTTGGGCTGAGAACTACTATTTTATTAATGCCCGAGGGGCTTGTGATGATTTTCGGACTGAGTGAGGCCGAGGGCCATATGTGAGGACATGCTGAGTGATAAGAGGCCGAGGGCCTGAGATACATTTATATGCCACGAGGTGGCTTGAGTGATGTGAGGCTGAGTGCCGAGTGATGTGAGGCCGAGTGCCGAGAGATGATGCCACGAGGTGGCTTGATATTGCGCTTGGGCCGTATGGGCCCCTCCCAGAGTCTGCACACCCCCAGTGAGCGCCGTCGACGATATATGGATCGGGCTGCACGCCGCAGCGATATATGGATCGGGCTGCACGCCGCAGCGATATATGGATCGGGCTGCACGCCGCAGCGGTTGCTATATGATACTATTCTATGAGTGTTCTGAGAGTGAGCCAAGGGGCTGGTACTGTTCTGAGATATTGCCCGAGGGGAGAACCTTTATGTGTTCATCTTTCATATTTACTTGTCATTTTACCTGTTATACTGTGGTATTTGTGCCCGCGGGGCGGATTTGCTTTACTTATCGGCATTAACTGTTTTGCAATCATTGCGTAACTGTTGAAAAGTCATCCTCAAATGAGGTTTAAACTGAGCTAAGATATTTTCTAAAGATTTCACAGCTTCACTGCTTTTCTCAAAGGGTTTTACACTGCTTCTATACAGCATGATAGTTTGCTTTACGTGATTTCTTACTGCTCAGTTGTTATTTACCTTTATTACTCACTGAGTTGGAGTACTCACTTTACTCCCTGCACCTTGTGTGCAGGTGCAGGTATTTATACACCCGGTAACGGGTTTTGGCTGATTGGAGGCAGTGTTGTCTGATATAGCGAGGTGGCTGCCAGCGTTCGCAGTACCGTATTTCATCATTTGCTTATCAGTCCTACTTTGCTTATTTCGGCCTTGTAGTTGTATTTATACTCCAATAGATGCTCGTGACTTGTGACACCCCGATTTGGGCTGTGTTTGGGTTGTATTCCGCACTTAATAAAGAAATCTTTTGTTTAGATTGTGGTTATTTAGTTATGCTAAAACTGGTTATTAATATTAACTATTCTGAAAAGGCAATTTGGGTTGGTTGGCTGGCCTTGTCTTCACGAGAGGCGCCATCATGACCGGATCGCGGTTTGGGTCGTGACACACTGTGGATGTGAACTATACCTCGCAGAGTTATTCTCCATTACAACCTCACTTCCCCAATATAATGAAACCCTTATTTTTGGCTCTTCAGACATTATAAAAAAATCCTTGATAACAAGAATAGAAGTATGAACAGAAGTTTGAAGGAAAGTTTTGAATGGATTTTCATAAAATCCTAATGCCTTTAAATAAGACAAGTCCTTGTTTGGGGTGCAAATTTTTTTTTATATATAAAACGCAGTATAATACAACAATTTACGTGTTTGAATTATTGTTATGTGAGTTATCCGCAGAACACTTATTGGTGGGCCCAAAAAGGAAGTAAAGCGCAGTATAATACAACGTTTTAGTAAAACGTAGTATTATACTGCATTTTACATTAAAAACGAATTATAATTAAAACGCAGTATTATACTATGTTTTTCTTTAACGGCTAACATTCCCTTAAACTAAAATGCAGTATAATACTGCATTTTAAATGTAATTTTTTTTAGCTGTAGAAAGATATTTTGAATCCAAAATATCATTATTTAGTCGGACTCTTATTCTGATATACTTCCCTCTCAGTGTTGGGTCCTATATTTCTTTCCAAGAATGGAACATTGGGACTAGACATTTTTCATTTAGGGAAATATGAGTGTCAAATTCTAAATTAGGATTGCTATCCATAAAAAGAGTTAATTATTAAAACTTACGTGCACTCAGTGTTTAAATCAATTTAATAACCACAAGTCTCGAATTTGAGTCTGGGATATGGAGCTGCCTTTGTTAAGGAGCGCTTTACCTTCCAATGTGGGACTTCTTGACACGTATTTGGAGTTAGTCGGGCCCCAACACGGGTACCGTAAATCGGGTGGAAAATCAAAAAAAAATTTGATAATGTAGAAATTAACACGTGATTAATGCACTTGTACGGCTGTATTAGTTTGTTAGAAGTTAGTTGTAGAGGTTAGTGATGGATGAAGTAGTGAAAGTCTATATATATGTGTATAGGGATGTATGTATTTTTTGGCTTCTTTTTCAGAAAGTTAGTTAAAACTGATTTTCCCTCCATTGTAGGGCTGCTTATCGGGCAGATTGGGCGGTTATTTACTCTTAACGGTTTGGTTTATCGGTTATCGGCTTTAAAATGTATTAAATCGCTAGCCACCCGATAAGATATCGGGCGGAGTGGTATCAGTTTAGCTCTTATCGGACGGTTTATCGGCCTAATTCAATCTATATTGGGTGCATTACAGAGGGCGTACTATCGCAACAAATATACTGAGTGGCAAGGTTTACACGTTCCACAAGCAGTTGAATTGTGTGAAGACATACGCTCTCTTCTAGTAGTTCCAAGTTAGCCTGATGGTCAACTTGTTGACATCCAATTTTGTCCCTCCTTTCTTCTAATTTATTTTCTTGAGCTTCTAAGTTACTAATAAACCGAATACCTTATTTTTATTATCATTGTCATTATTATTATTATTATTATTATTATTATTATTATTATTATTATTATTATTATTATTATTATTACTACTACTACTACTACTACTACTTTTACTACTATCACAATTATCATTATTATTATTATTATTATTATTATTATTATTATTATTATTATTATTATTATTATTATGTTTGTTATTGCTATTATTAATAGTACTATCGTAACTAATATTATTATTACTTTAATTTGTTTATTAACATATATTTAATATTACTTTATCGTATATATATAATTTAAGTTTTAATACAAAAAAGTTCAAAAGAATTAATTTGAACATTGAAAAGACCAAAATTCGGCCAAGACAAGGTCCAAATATTTTTTCTTCACTATATGATAGCCCATCAAAATTCCCATCTCCATAGCCCATACCGTGCCAAAATTCACCAGACCCAACAAGCCCATCAGCTTTTGAATTAACCCAAATAATGAGCCCAACAAACTCTAAACCCTACGACTCTTTTCTCTTCTCTCTTATTCTACTTTTGTGGATTTTCAGCTCTTCCTCAGCCATGGCAAAGAATATCCACTCTATTTTGGTACAAGGATTCTTATTATCTCTCTCTTCTCGAAGCAAGTCTTGTTTTCTTCCTCGAAGTGATAATTCGTACACTTTAATCCTTATAAGACAAAGTGAATCTCTCCATTTCGAGTGCTTTCTGAAGCAAATCACGTGAACGCCTCAAAGGATCGGATTTGAACAACTCCTTTGACCATAAATTCAAAATCAAATCAAGAATTCCCGCTCAAGAGCAAACCCTATATTTTTCAATATAAATACTTGCATATCGGATCACTTTTGGACAGGTTGGAGCCGCCGCTCGAATACTACTGTAAACACCACTGTTTTTCTTACTCTTCTCGTCTCTTATAAACTCTCATAAAGAACTTTCAAACTTTATACTGTCTCGGTGTACTTTAGCCGCGATAGAGGTGTTCGAACCCGTTCGACTCGAGGTTCGAATCTTTTCATAACGAGAGAATAGATTCGAGGTGGAAGCCCCAGTTCACTGCCCAAAAACAGGTAATATGTGTCTCTTAATTGATTTTCTTTGGCCGAAACATGTAGTATTTCTTAAAAGAAAATCATGTTTTGGTTATATCCTTTTGTCTTTAGTTGTTATTTTTGCGAGCCAGTAACAAAAGGCACGTTTCCTGGCCCTTTGTGTTCAGATTTTCCTTGTTGAAATTTCATGGATAAACTAAGTTCCTAGATACTGTTTTGATTTTTTTTTTAAAACCTGTTGATAACATTTGAACAGAAATCATGAACTGACAAATATGATGAAGTTCATTGTGTGTAGCCATAAACTAAGTGCTGCTTTTGTTTGTTTAAAAAAATCATATTACGAAGTATTCAAGATAACTCATTTAGTAGAATATAAATGGTAGTATATATATGAATTCAATTGCTTTATTAGAAGTCAGGCTTCAACATTTTCCTTACTCTATAGAGACCATATTCTTTAGCACACCATGTTTAACATACATTCTGTTCATTAGGTATTCTAGATCCATGTCCTTAACTCAATTTAAGTATGAACATCAAGAAATTATGCCTTTAGGGTGTAAAAGACTCGTTGTGTTCCTAGTTCATTTAGAATCATATTATTTTGGTTTCGGTTATCAGTAATACTCATGTATTAGGAACCACCACTGTCTTACTCGCTTAATTGAGAAGGTATAACTTTTTAAGGAATTTTAGGTGATTTCTTTCATCTCCAAGTAGTAGAAGAAAATATGACGTTAGGATTTCTTTCTTTAAGAGCTTAGATATCATGCTCGTAGACTTTTAAAATGCTTGTTTGAATTAGATTTAGCTAATTGAGAATACATGTTTATCTTGTGAACATAATGCCTTCAAGCTCTTCTTTGAGATTTTGCTTCAAGTGATGGCATCTTGGTTGATTTAAAATGACTTTACATGGACTTATAATATATTCGTCTCTTTAATGATACTATTTAGTAAAAGTCAAATGTTTGCAGCCTTTCTTCCATATTTTCATGTCTGTTAAGAAGTAGATGTTCTTCTCTAATATTTTTTTTTCTTTTCTTTGTTTTGCATGACACACATAGCATTCTTGAGTCTTGCTTTGAGATTCGACGATGCCGCAGCACTGTACGCGCATGGAGTCGACACCCTTATACATTATCACACTGCCTGATACAAAGACAAACAACTATATTATTCTTATGGGATGCTAGCTGAGAAGCTAGTCAAATTATCCCTTTGATTCCTAATTGTTCATTTAACTTTTCCTCTCTGTGGTTGACTATTTTAAACACATACTTTCATGTTGGGACTTTTACTGATATGCGATGTTATATTTAGTCAGGTGATTACTTCACTTGTGGTTAATCATATAGGTACTCATTTTTACATAGAATATAAACCTAAATAAGGACTTTAAAATCAGTGGCCTAACAATTCTTCTACCTTCTCTTCCCTTTTAACTTATCTAGTTGCCATTTTACAAGGTTAGAATAAGAGACAAATATTAACTTTGAAGCATTAACAAGTTTTTCAAGACATACTTTGAAATTTTGACGAACTGTATCCTTTTTATTTGACGTAAGTCGAAGATGACCAACCTTTCTCTACTTCAAAAGACGATTATTATAAATTAATTGTACTTTATCAAACTTTCTTCAAGTCTAACGTTCATCTTTCGTTTTGGACTTTAGTCCATCAGAAAATTGTCTCTTTTCAAAATTTTGGTTCTTAGACTCTAAAAGGAAAAGCAGATTTCATGTTACTATCTTTAATGACGGATTCTTTATAGTTATGTTTACGTTACTTTGGCCTGCAATTATTTTACACTTAGCCTTAACTAACTTTAGTCTGGTCGGTTAACCATTTTAATATGGATCTTAAAGGGTGCTTTAAAAATCTTCCCTTTAGATTAATTGAACCCTTACTTAGAATCTTTAGGTTAAGTAGACCATTAACATAGTTATACTTTATTAAATTACTTCAATCAATTTAGGTGTCCTAATTCACCTTAGAAATAATTAGGTGGCGACTCTCTAACTTTATTCAAACTCGGAATTGCCTATATGTTGTACCTTACTTTAGCCAGTTTAAAATAGGGTATAACACAACTAAATGAGTCACTTTCCTCTTTCACATGATGAATTTGAACTCATTACATGTTGAGAAATTTGAACCAAGGTTGTTGATTATTACTACCGTTTTATGGTCCGCTTTAACAGCAACATTTATTTTCTACCGGAAGGTAAAATTACCATGTTAACATCCGATTTCACTTTTAATTTGGAAGCGATGCTGCCTTTTCTTCCTGCTACTATTATGTATTATCTGCTTGTGAATGAAAAGGCACCAGATTAGCGATGACACGTGTTTGATGATGGTAAGTTAAGCGAAACTTAAGGTCAATGGTAACGCTTGGCCGATTATAATAGTGGTGGCGTTTGGATTGGATGCGGAACATAGAGATATGATATCACCGGTGGCGTTTGGATTGTATATATATATATATATATNTATATATATATATATATAATGGGTTAACGGATTATCCATTAAGAAAATTGAATAATCCGCCCCCAAACCGATAAGCCGTTAATGAAAAAATTTCAGTCTGTTCCCCGTCCGTTAAACTGTTAACCCGATATCAATAAGCCGTTTAGCTTCGGTTTCAGTTCGATTTTGAACACCCCTACTCCATTGTCTCTTCTTTTTCGATTCTCTCAGCTAGCTTCTTCCACTTAACAATGGTGGATTTCTACATGGTATCAGAGCTCGAGTAGATCAATCGAGGCTAGGAATTAATCAATAGATACAACTTCTGAAATCATCAGTTCAAACTTTTGAGGCCAACTTTTGACAGTTAGTCATGGCAAATCTGGACATCGACAATCCCTGTCATCCTTTGTATTTGCAACCTTCTGATAATCCTGGAAATGTCATCATATCGATACAGCTCAAAGGAACTGAGAATTATTCAGTTTGGAGCAAGGCGATGGTGATTGCATTGCGAGCAAAGCGCAAGCTAGGGTTCATCGATGGGAGCTATACAAAAGCTCAATTTACAGTCGACTTGGAGGAAGAATGGGAGCGAGTGAATGCTACTGTTTTGACATGGATTATGAACACAGTTTCACCGGATCTAGTGAATGGAATCGTATATGCTAGCGATGCTCATGAAGTTTGGCTAGATCTGCAGGATTGTTTTGATAAAGTTAATGGATCTAGGATCTACAACCTTCAGAGGGAGATAGCTACCATTTCTCCAAGTACATCTAGAATTTCAGTATATCATTCTAGGTTGAAGTCACTTTGGGATGAATATAATTCCATGATTCTTTCTCTTCCTGTTACGGCTGGAACTAGAGATTTTATCGAACACTTGGAGCAGCAGAAACTTTTTCAGTTCTTAATGGACTTAAATGAATCCTATAATGCAATTAGAAGTCAGATTTTACTTCAATCTCCCTCACCTTCTATAAGTCATGCCTATGCAATGTTAATAAATAAAGAAAATCAAAGAAGAGTGTTTGAGACTAATTCACATATTAATGTGACAAATGAAGTAAATGATTCTACTGCTCTAATGAGTTTTAGAGATAATCAGTCAAAGTTTAAGAGGTTCAATAATTTGTACTGTGAGTATTGTTGAAACAAAGGACATACAAGAGATACCTGTTACCAATTGGTTAGATATCCATCTGGTTTCAAGGGGAAGAAATCACAGCAGTATAGGCAAGCTAACATGGCTATGAGCGATAGCAGTTCTGGCAAAAATTTTGTTGCAACTCAGGATAATGCAGGGATGAGTCAAGGAATGCTCAACTTCTTTACTGATGAGCAATACAACCAGATCATTAAGATGGTAAGCAAGAACAAATCAGAAGAACATGCAGCAAACATGGCAGGTAATGCTAATTCTTAATCTCTAGAGGATCTAGCTGACTACTGGATTGTAGATACTGGTGCTACTGACCATATGGCATCTAATAGTGAAATGTTGAAAACAATGACTGGATTACCTGACTCAAGTAAAGGCAATGTGAACCTCCCAAATGGTAAGATTGTGCCTATCATCTGCAAGGGAAGTTACAAACTTACAGATCATGATGTGATACATGATGTGTTGTGTGTACCTGATTTTAAATACAACTTGTTGTCTGTGTCAAAATTAACTAAGGAGCTACAATGCTCAGTTAATTTTTTCCCAACATTCTGCGTATTTCAGGACCTATACACTGGGAAAGTGAAGGGGATTGGTAAGGAGAAGGGTGATCTCTATCTACTGAACCCTAAAGGGTCTAACAGGAATAAAATGGCACAAAGGATCAGCAGTTGTCTTGTAGAAGGAATGCAAGCAGACTTCACTACCTGGCATAGAAGGCTTGGGCATTTGCCAGTTAAAGTCATGAAGCAGCTAGATTTCCTTAAAGACAAGAAGTTTTCTAATTGTGAACTCAATAATTGCATTTAATGTCCTTTAGCTAGGCAGACAAGAAAACCATTTCCTTTAAGTAGCAACAGAGCTAAAGACACATTTCATTTGATTCATGTAGACATTTGGGGTCCATATAGAGTGCCTACATATAATGGAAATAGATATTTTTTGACTCTTGTTGATGATCACTCCAAGATGATTTGGATTTTTCTAATGAAAATTAAAAGTGATATTGTTGTTGTTCTTAAATCATTTCTTAAAATGGTATATACACAGTTTGGCAGGAATGTCAAAGTGCTAAGAACTAACAATGGTGCAGAGTTCTTTAGTCATGAATGTCAAGATTATTTGATGGATAATGGTATTTTACATGAAAGCAGATGTCCACATACTCCACAGCAAAATGGAGTAGTGAAAAGAAGACATAGGCATGTCCTAGAGGTGGCAATGGCTCTGAGATTTCAAGGAAGCATTCCATTACAATTCTGGGGAGATTGTATTAGCTGCAGCATATCTTATTAATCGACTGCCTTCTTCAGTTCTAGCAGGGAAATCTCCATATGAGGTTTTTCATAAGAGAGCACCTAATATGACACACCTAAGAACTGTTGGATGTTTGTGTTTTGCTACAGAGACAGAAAAGGTGGACAAATTTTCTCCTAGAGCCATCACTGATGTTCACATGGGGCACTGAGTATCTCAGAAGGGATACAAGTTATATGACTTAAGGAGAAGGAAGTTCTTTGTTAGTAGAGATGTCACATTCAAGGAAGACATTTTTCCTTTTCAACCAGGGAAGGATGATACACAACAAGATCTTATGTTCTTAGAGCTGAAATCAAAAGAGGAAGGCTACTCTTTGCATCAACAACAACCACATGTGTCAGGAGAAGAGCATGATGCAGTCAACCAAGGTATTGAGCATGGTCATGAAGTGATGCAACAAGAGAACAACTTCAAAGGAGCTGCTCCAGATCATGGTGAACAGCTACCAGATGCTGAGGCTGATCATAATGTGCAAACATTAGCTAATGAAGCCATTGAGGAAGTCAAGCTGTACAACTCAGAAGATCCAACAGAGGTTCCAAACCACCTATTTGGATGCAAGACTATGTCTGCCCAGTCAATGGAGCATCATCATCCACCTGCACATATCCAATATCCAACTATGTGAACTATAGTGCCTTGTCAGCTACTTATCAATCTTACTTGACTGCTACCTCACAAGAGACAGAACCTACATTATACACAGATGCCATGAAGGACCCAAGATGAATTGAAGCCATGAAGGCAGAAGTGGATGCCTTGGTTCTGAACAATACTTGGGAGATAGTTGATATTCCTAAGGGTAAGGTGCCCATTGGGTGCAGATGAGTATACAAAATTAAGTACAGGTCCAATAGAGAAGTTGAGAGATTTAAAGCAAGACTTGTTGCCAAGGGTTACAGCCAACAAGAAGGTCTACACTATCAGGAGACTTTTTCTCCAGTTGTCAAAATGGTCACAGTGAGATCAGTCATTGCACTGGCTACTATGTATCAATGGCCTCTTTTCCAAATGGATGTCTACAATGCATTTCTTCAAGGTGATCTTGAGGAAGAAGTTTACATGCAATTGCCACCTGGTTTCAGCAGCCAAGGGGGGATTTCTAAGGGCTGCAGACTGCTTAAATCACTATATGGACTTAAGCAAGCATCAAGACAATGGAACTTGAAACTCACAGAGGCTCTATTGGTAGCAGGTTTTATGCAAAGCAAACATGATCACTCCTTGTTCATCAAAGAGGAGAATGGAAAGCAGGTTGTTATACTTGTATATGTTGATGACCTTCTAATCACAGGCAATGACACTACTATAATTCAGGAAGCAAAGATCACACTACACAAGGCCTTCAAGATTAAAGACCTAGGGAACTTGAAATA